GGCTGGGTCATATTGTGTGGAGCATTTGACAACACCAGAATGGCAGAAGCAATGTGGGGAAAAGGCCATTAAAATATCTCCAGTTACCAGTTTGAAGTACATTGTACTGTATCAAAATACTCCATGTACTGCCTTGCTTGTCTTTGTCACAAAATCTAATGGCCTATATTTATAGAATTGAGTTCATTCTGGAAATCTAACTTTTAAAGCATCCATGCCTATCATAAAAATATACTTGTATGGTTGAAATCTAGAAAGCCAAGACTATGATAGTATGATCATTATGAACATTTCAATCATACATGTCATATCGCAGTTGTATACACATTTTCAGCCAAAATTTCGGTTTTCTTTTGGTTTGCTCTAGAAAACCTCATCTTGCATGCCACGTCATTTCCAACATCTCACATAAAAGTAGAAATGCGAACCTTTGAGGATCCCATCAGGGTTCATGCAACATACATGACCAAATGCTAACAAAGGAGCCCGAAAACATGGGCAATTTCTCCCTAAAAGGTCTGCAAGGTCCTGGCAGCCTGCCCAACATGTAATCAACTTTCTCCAGAAGGTACCTAGGAGAAGGGTCAAAGACCTCAGGCAAAATTCCAAAGAGAAGTCTGTCATATTTCGTCTGCAGGTATCTCGAATATTGAAGCATGTTTTGGATTCCTGTCCTCTCACTAGCATATATTGAAAGGTATGATTTTTAGTTGTGTAGCAATGCGGCTCTCTTTCATGGCATTGATCTTCACTTCTGAGTTTAGTTTGATCTAGCATCAAAAAATTCTATATTCATACTATAGACTGTAATTTTCCATGCTTTCATTCTCGAGCTCAGAGTAGCTTTAAATGTAATCTGTCAAGCTACAATAATTTGCCAGGCATTGTGATTGTTTGAGAGCTGAAACTTCAGGTAAAATATTCAAAGAATAATAATACCTCAACAGTTGACTTTCACTGCATTTGACAAGGAAAGAATACATGTGCAACCCTCTCTTGGATTATCTCTACCAAAAGATGTGCAATTTGTTTGATGCAAACAGGCATCAAAGTGAGAACTACATATACAGTAGGCTAAGGCCAGTAAAGACAAAGCGGAGTTAAATATGTATTGATTATAAGCCATTTGCATTTCTGTCCGTCAGCACTTTTCCAGGGACAAGATAAGATATTTCATCTTTGACCCATCATGGGTGTCATCAACCCCATCAATCTTATTCTGTCTTTTTAGAAACATTTTACAATAGATGATGAGTCCCAGACTAAACAGAATGTAAAAAGTAATACCTTGCAATACATCACTGTAAGTATGCACTCAGAAAATGAACTTTCAATTGGCTTCAAATGTACTACAATATACACGCACGTACAGGCTTTTAGCTAGGATTTTTTTGGTGGGCGTCCATTTTTTTTATTGTATGCTATGCACAGTGAAGACATGCTGAGTGCAAGATTTTAGGGGGGCTTTTTTGAAATTCATAATGCTCTCAAACACTACTTTCTGCATTTTCAGGTGTAAATTTGAGTTTTTTCCTTCAGTAAACCATCATTTTTGTATTTATAGTAAGGCTGAAGGGAGGCATGTGTGCATGGCAAGGGTTGAGAGTGGAAAAAATAGGGCGTCTTTAGGGTGTCCTACAAAAAAGTAGGGCGTCCAATTTCTCATTATTTTCAGTACAGGGCGTCCAAAAGACACCCTGGACACCCCCTAGCTAAAAGCCTGCGCACGTACCTATTTCTTTCCAGGGCTTAACGTTTTGTATGGACACAACAGGAAACGTGTGGCACGATTGTGTACTTGTGTGATTAATCTTAATCTAGCCAGCTCCCTCAGACGTCCAAACAAATGGCAACATATCCAGGGTGCAAACAGAACAAAGGATTACGCTAATGGCTTCCAATGGGGCTAATTGCGCTGGCGGGCAAAACTATTCCTTCTGATAGACAACGCCATCATACAATTCGAAAATTAATGTTAAATCTCAATGATACTTTACACAGAAGAAAATGCCAGCAGTCTGTCCTGTTTTATTCTGTAACTGAGCTCAGAGCATGATACAGTTAATCTTGCAAGCGAGCTTACATTGCCTAATACCTGTCTGCTATCTGTGATAACACTAACTCCCTTGCCAAATATACAATCCTTTCCACTGACTGAGAACAATTTTTCATCTCTTCTTGCTGTACATCTCACAGAAGCACACAGAATCTAGATTCGCTTGGGAAGACTCACACAATTTGGAGAAAATGGCTTTCACAAAAGGGGGGAAAACAAATACAATGGTATAACGCAAAATCAACATCAAAAGCCATGTCTAAGCCCTTTAACACAGACTGTCACACCTGTAGAAAAAACTATTGGATTCGCAGGTATTTTTTCTCCATCTTTTTGTTTCCGTAGCCATTCTAATCATTGCTAGTGTGCCACATAAAATTCTTGGGTGCTTCAGGACCTAGTTACATGCATGACGGATTGACAAAGTTAAATTTTCAAGTGCCCAGGCTCTAATTTGATAGTCTGTGGAGAAGTTACATGTATTATTGGTAATACCACCAGAGCATGCCATTACTGTCTATTTTGTGTATCCCAAATGACCAACCAAGCAAACGAACATGAATGCAATTATGGACTCATACCAGAACTAGATGTTTGGTGCAAAAATATGCAGCATACAATGGATATTTATGTCTAACGTCGAATGGTATCTATTGACTATATCTTATCTCACATAAACACAATATACTGGCGGCAAGCGGTAAATGACCAATGGTTTTCATAATGACCTCCTCTGTCCCTGAAGGTATTAATATCAACCTTAATGTAAATATCAAAATGTTAGACTTTTTTTTAACAAAATTATGTGACTCTATTTTCAACCATAGGGGAAGCAGAAATTTTACTGACCGACAAAATCTCCACTTAGGTCTGAATTCCATTCAAATCCTTTATCTCCCCGAAAAATCTAAATGGTTCCTTCCATAGATATGTTCCAGACTTTACCATTGAGTCCCTAAGGGAGGGGCAGGGTGTCCCAGGGGTTGCATTATGTGGGTTATCTGGACCCTCCAAAATGAGTCCACAACTCACTGTGCTTCAGATAAAGGTAGGTAAATATGCTCACCTAGCCGCACCTCCTCGCCTGTGCAAAATTAAGCCTTACCACACATTTCTAACCAATTTGCAACAATGCCAGGTGGACTTTGTTTAGTTGGCAAAGAGCAAGCAGCTTCCCAGATGTCCGAATTTAAACAGATCTTACTGATAATGCCAGAATAACCATTCAACCCCTTTGATTTATAGGGTTAGCTTTTGGGCATATTAGTTTCAACCTCATGCCATATGACCTGTTTTCATCATAAGTCATGCACCGTGGTTAAACCTTATGAAGAATAATTGTGAGCTATTGTTTATACATGTACCACCTGGGCTTTGAAAGAACAGATAGCACATTGCCCGGCATTGACATTGGTGAAATGAAGTACTGTAAATCAAAGGAAGAATTCAAGAAATGACACCCCCACTGTGTGTACCTAGATCCCCATTAATTTTTAAGAAAAAAAAAATTTTTGGTGTTCGAAATGATAACAGAGTAATATATTTTGTAGATCTAACATCTTGAAGAATAATGCGCTCTCTATCTCTTTCTCATTTGCTATTCCATATTTCCAGTATCTAAAGATTAAGTTGTCTATCAACAAAGAAGTTATCACTATCGACTATGGCACATCCTAGATCTATCCTTTTCCACTAGGTGGCAATCACTGAGCAAATTTTGAGCAACCAAATTGGATTTGTGCGTCCCTTGATTTTATAATTGGAGTATGATGCTTGATACAAAAACATGATATACAGATATACACAGCAACACACAAAAATGAAAAAATTAACTGTTGTCTACGAAATTTGCCAAGTAATCTCTGAAATATTTGGTTGCTCAGCTTTTGTAGTTTCTGGTGGAGTGGACAGAGGGTGTTTAATGAGAATAAAACCAATTGGTTAACCAAGAGATCCCCTAATATGCCCTCAATCTCAGGTACACTTATCTTAATACGGGGTATGCAAATTACATCAAGAAATCAGACAGTTTATTTTCACACTAGCCAAGAGCTGGTACTAATTTGACAACACAATTAATCAACTTCATGAAGATAAGATATTGTCATAATTTGTTGTACCCTAACTTCAAACAACCCATTTGGACAATTGTCTGAAACAAGACACAATCATGTGTCTTTCAAAAATGCAAGTCAGAATACTAAAAAATATCTTAGTCTAGTTCTAAGCAAGAAACCACATACTTCTATCTTTCCACTCTAGATAAATAGAAATTTTGCAATCAATAAGCCAAATCAATTTTATCTGGCAATTTCCTTCTGATGTTTCTACACTATGCAACAAGACAAGTTTTGCAACAACAAAGAACTAACGTATCACAATATTTACCATTCCTTCTAATCCTTGCTTGAGTGGTTTGAATCACAAAAAATTCACCCAGGTCATTCATTTCATCAGGACATATATCCCTCGAGATAATCTTGTGAGGTGGCCTAGATTAAACTTGTTTTAAATTACCTAACATTACAAAATCCTCTCACAAAATCAAGATCCTCAGAATTTAAAGTCCATTGATTTAAAGTTCAAGAGGCAAAGGGTTGGGTCAGCTTTCAACAAAGGGGTTTCTAGTTTCGTAGGAAGAATAAACAACCGTATGGTCGGTGTAGTGTTACCGGTCGTGCATGTGGTTTTGATATTTAGCAGTAAAAAAACGAGGCTGGCCACACCAGTTGGACATTTGTGCAAGCCCTGCGCCATTATTAATGCCTTATTTGTACAACGTGTGTTGTTGAGGTTTTACAAGTAGGAAGCGGGCACAGCTGTCCTATGCGGGGGTTTCGCGCGCTAAAAAATCGTCCCAAACCCACGTCAAGCATTCAATAAGGTTTCCAATTTATCGCTAGACTGGTCAGGATGGGGGATAATCGGCGTGGTCGGGCCTTACCTGCTGGAGTGGCCCCGAAGATACGAATCACCGGGACCCTTTTGGAGTCGGTCCCGCGAAAGTCGGAGTGACAGACATCCAAACCTTGGACAGGGGCGGCTTGGTAGTGGTCGGCCGTCACAATCCGCACAGAAAACATGGCTGGAAAACGGGAGAGAAACGTCCAATGGTGAAAATCTGAGCCGCCGGAAAATTGGGCAGCCTGCCTGGACGGGAGAGATAAGGAGTTTCACCGTGGGTGGAATCGTCACACAGATGGTGCGCTGAGGAAAAACAGACGACTTCCACCATGGCGGGGAGAAAGCACAAAATATCAACATCACCTTTTGTCCTTGAAATTAATTCTAACGAAGCACGCCACGCACAAAATTCTTAGCGCAGAATATTCCTGACGTCGTAGTCTCTTACCTGATGTGGTTCTGAGGCGCAGGATAGGTCAGAGACGAGCGGAAAGTCAAGAAAAATAAACCTGCTTTTCTGCAGGTTGGGCGGAATCCGACATCTTGTCTCCTGACCGAATGGGTAATGTGTCGCACGGCATGCCGGGAAAGGGGAATATACCACGCTCGGGGGACACCGAACTGGGGGCGTGTCCCCTTGGGGGTAGCTACAATTTAATATTACTAAAGAAAACAGGAATTTCAAACCCCCTACATCCTCTCTCCTTTTCGTAAAATATAGATAAATCACTAGAGAGACCAGGCTGAGTTTTTAATCATTGCAGCCGACAGCGGTAGTGAGCTAGACTCATTGCCGGAGACCCAAGTAATGCCATTTAAATAGGGACGTAATTTCACCGTTCTAAATTGCTTTCCCAGTAAAAAAAAATCTTATTTCACTGCTCGTGTCAATTGCGTTCTGTTAACGTCTATCGACGTGTAGAAACATAATTCCGTGGACCAATGGTTATGAGAAAATAATACGTTGCTTTTCGCATTTTGTTTTCAATTGAAACCATTGATTCATAGAAACGTACAGCATTACCCGCAGGTCTTTGTATTTGGACTCACTGGGTACAAAGGTCTCTCTTATCAAGTGTCCCTCACCGTGCACACACATGAAAAGGACTCCAAAATGGCGGCCGAGTCAAACTTGTCCGCCGTTCTCTATGGAAAGGACGACTTGAGGCTGGTAAGTGAGGGATACTACCGTGTTTTACGATTATTCTGACAACATTGGAGATTACGTAGCCTATGTTAACGAGGTCCCCCAGGCGAATCCAAGGTGACATTGCAGTGCGTGGTGTTAAAGGTGTTTGTTTCTAGGTCAACGTTCAATTAGATTCAGAAAAGGGCTTTAATGAAGGGGTTGGTACAAGACAAAATGGAACGAGAGCAATTTAGAGGAAAAACAAATGGTAGGTTCTGGCCTGGTTCTGGCTGAGGCTCATTATGTACATGGCTATATTTGCTTGAATTATTTCTTCAGAGACCAACATTACCACATTTCTTTCTAATTCTTATTCTTATAATTTTTCTTCTGCCGTCACTTTTACTTTTAATTTTGGGCAATGTTTTCTCCTTTTTTTTCTTTTATAGGAACACCGAGATATCAAGTTACCTGGTGAAAATGGTGCGTACACACAAAATGTGTCCTGTATGTTTGAGGGTCAAAGGGCATAATACGCACGTTTCATTCGTGTGACCGTATAAGGTAACAATATAATATTCCAAGTAGTTGGGCCTTCTCTTTTGCTTTTATGACCCACATGCTGCAATAATAATGCCACTGCAGTACTGTACGTATGACCGCACCCTCTATAATTTTTGTCATTAATGGATATAATTTTATTTTACCACGCACGAAAACTTCTTTCCTGTTCTCTTTAGCAAGGACATATTGGATTTTGAAGCTTCTGTTTCGATTCTTAACATGCCCTAATAATAATACATGTATCAATATCTGTGTAGTATGACTTTCCTGTATATTTCGCAGAGGTGCAGATAGCCATGCGTTCCGTCGGGATCTGCGGTTCGGATGTGAAGTACTGGACGCACGGGAAGTGCGGCCGGTTTGTGCTGGATGAGCCCATGGTGATGGGACACGAGTCCAGCGGCACGGTGGTGGCAGTGGGGAGGGGAGTCACGCACCTAGCGAAAGGTACGCGTACTACAGGCCAGTCATCGTTGATTTTGCAATGTAGTGCTGTCAGGTAGAATATTGAGTAAAGAGATCAATAAATTTGCTACACAATAAGCATACAATGTACGTATACATAGAATCTTTAATTTTGGTACTTTACAGAATAAAGGTGTGAATTTGTGCAAATTAAAGGTGTATTCCATATTCTGTTGCCTATATCAGCTAAAAGATACAGCTAAACAAACAAAAAGAAAAACTGTGTTGCTAGCTAGCTTGAATTGAATAGATCATCGTCGTTATTTCCAGAAAATATCGCTGTTATTTCAATACTGGCCTCGTTTCTCATCGTAAGATGCACGTTATATCTGTGCAAAAACGATGTTGTAATACTGATGTTCTGTTCAAATAATTCCATACGGAAGATGAATCCCATGTGACAAGACCCTTCGTTTGGGTACAACGGTCATCGGGAAGGTCCTTGCACGCAGTACAGTGTTTAAGAAGAGGTCTCGGCGCCGCAGGTCGCGACCGGCCTTTGCCTGCGCGCCGCTCGGCATTCCTGACGACCACTCGGGACAGTCCCCTGCTCCAATCACCGCACCCTTCCCCAAGCGGAGTCCACTGACACTGTACTGTAGACCAATAGAGAGCGAAGATTTTTATTTCTGTGTCAGCAAAGCTATAATCATATTGCAGAACAGGCAACTCATGTGGCGGTTTTAACAACCAGTATCGCGGCAGCTGTCCATGGTACTGACCGATGTCTATAGTCACGCACACAGATCTCGAAACGAGCAGAACTGCCTCAAATGCTAAAGAATAGTTTGAACATGAAAAAAGGACGAGGGTCTGTCCCTGTCCCTGGTGCTGAACGCCATCCACACACGTCTTTACAACAAGATGTCGAAGATGTTATGAAGTCCTCCGTTATGCTATGTTATAGTGATTTCCCCCATGTTAGCCTCTTTGGCCAAATTCTTAGACTGCCTGTGGGCAATTTTCTTTCTAGGCCTGTCAACTCACTCTATAGGCTGGACAAAGACACAGACCCACAACTCAGCAACCCTAATTCCGTAATAAATATGAACCAGTACTTCACCTGACCGTCCCAAAGGTCGTCAAGAACCCCGATCCCACTCTCCAGAATGAACTCCAGCTCGCAAGGCGTGGAGCTTTCTGACGACTTCCACTGATTGTACTTACACCTACACCTCCAGCAGTGAGTGATCTTACGGGGTTTCAACTTGATCTTCCCAGCAAGGGCCTTCGCCAAAACCTCCTCCCTGTGTGTGAGAGCAAAGTCCACCGCGGCGTGCTCGACTTCTGGCACGCCCATAAAATGGGCGAGTCTTGCTAATTTCAGACAGTTTTCCAGCTCGACAGTTTGTAAAACCCGCTGGACAAGAGTGTCGTACAGGTCCGAGGATTTTAGACCTCTCGCCACAATCGCTAGACGCATGACTCGCCGAGGTTTGGCTATGGTCGGGTACGTAGCTTTTCCAACCGCCTGGAGATAGCGTCGAAAGTCCTTCGCCTTGATGTTCTTGAAGTAGTCTCTGACGGTTTCGTCGGCTAGTTTCCTCTGGAAGAAAACGACCAGGTCCTTTGGAATCTTGAAACGTTTCCCACCTACCACCATTTTCATACGCGGGTGCGAAGATCTCGATGTAGACCGTTTTAAAGACATTGTTGTGATTTAGTTTGGGCAAGGTGAAACAAAACGTCCAGATTGTTGCAAGCACGTTGCAAATTGAATGTTCTGTACGATTCTATCGAACATAGAACATAAACGAACTGTTTTATTTGAATCTCCCATTCGGCGTTAGTATGCTACAGTGTGTTCTGGAGCACATTTGGATGGCATACCCCAGTATTTATGATTTTTGCTACAATCTCTTCATTAAAGTAGCTATAGTTTCCAAATTTTAGGTAATAACATTTGATCTCATATATATTTATATATATATGTATCTATTAAACAAAAGTCGACAAGTCACCATCTACAAGCACGTTGTGACGTTGAGATGTTTTGCTTGTGTCGTTTCTTTTGTGAAATTATGAAGTTACCAACGTTAGCATTTCATTGATCGGGGTCTGGTTGCCGGTTGCCTCCTGTCCCGGCGCAGGGAGGGTCCCTGCCGTTGCCATGGTCGCAGCCTTAGGCCCAGCACTCTCTTCTGATTGACTACCGGACTTAGTTGCTTATTCCTCCAGTGACGTAACATCCTCCTCTTCATGAACTTCATCTGACACGGAGTCGGGCGGTCGGTTGAAGCCCGTCTCTGGCACCGCGGGCAGTGGACGGTGTGTCCCGAGCCAAACAGCTTTCTGACGACGGTAGCAGTCAAGACCAAGTGCCGATTCCTCAGGACAAAATCTTCCCCAGCTTTTTCGATAGGTTTGAGATCCAGCCAATGCGCAGCTTGCGTTATTCTTACACAGTTGGAAAGTTTCATCTTCAACAGTATGGCCCGGCATAGTTTGTCGAGGGCGTCCGCTATCCCAAGCTCAGATGCTATGGCAGCGAGTCGGAAGAGTTTACCCAGTCTGGTAGGAACCAAACCTTCTTCTAGAAGGTTCACGAAGCTCCTCAAATCCTTGCCTCTCACGTCGTTCAAGATAACTTCCGTGGCATCCCAATAGGACGCAGTAGCGGGATTTTCCTCTGTAGTTCCACCCCAAGTCGCTAGAGTGGCTCTGTGAACGTAAACTCTGGTATTACCAGCCGTTAAGCAGATGTTGGAAGAAGATGCGCGAAGATCGTTACTCGTCTTGAAGCAAGGCATCGTAACAAACGCTGGACACATCCGCTCAGGGAAACAAGCGCACATGTCTGTTACATACGAAGTGGTTGACACATCTGTTGCTAGGAGGCAGTTTCGAATGCGTACTTCTAGGAAAATGTGCTTCTAGGACAAACAGGGCTCTTTGTTTGTATCGAACCTTTTGCTAGCGACACTGCATGCTGCTCGGGCGATATGCCAATCAACTTCTAGCTTTAAAAGGACGGACCGGGAAACATAGTGTTTGAAGACGTGAAGATGAACGCTAGGACAGTAAACGAAAAAAGGTGCTCCAGAAAGTTGAATCTTTAAGGGGTTTTTTTTCTTTCACAGGAGATCGTGTGGCCATTGAGCCCGGCGTCCCCTGCAGGACATGTAGAATCTGCAAGGAGGGGCGATACAACCTGTGCGCCGACATGAAATTCTGCGCCACGCCTCCTGTACACGGGTCTCTGTGCCGATTGTACAACCACGCTGCCGACTTCTGCTACAAGTCAGTCTTTCTCTAACGGCACGATCACATTGGTCGTAGAACGGTCGTACGATTTTTATGTCGTAGATATTTCAAGCAGACAGTTACAGAATTCAACCGAGAAGGCTCTAAGACAGCTTTTCTGTAACAATGCATCTGACTTCAATTATGCACGTACAATATTTGAGAGGATGAGTACATAAGAAAATACTTTAACTAAACAAGAATCTTTATTTACACAACAAAAGTACAGCGACTTTCGTAAGGTCTCTAACTTTACAATAAATTAACATGTTGAGTCAGACGTGTCACGTATTCTACTACATGTAGTTCTTTGATATATATTTAACGTTACCTATTTGTACACGATAGGGGTTATCTACTAGAATGTAATTGAATTTATGTCAAACTTGAGCGTTTATCATCATATGAATCACGGCTGCGTCCTCCTCCATATTGGTGTCCTTTGACGTCACTTGAAAACGGTTTTTTTGTCCTCCCAGGCTTCCCGCTCACGTGAGTTTTGAGGAGGGCGCCATGTTGGAGCCGCTGTCCGTGGCTGTGTACACCTGCCAGCGGGGGGAGGTCAGGGTGGGCAGTAAGGTGCTGATCTTCGGGGCAGGACCGATCGGCCTGCTCTGTCTGCTGGTCGCCAAGACAAGAGGAGCGAGCTCCGTGGCCATCACGGGTAAGGTCAGGCACTATAGAGGTAAAAACATCACCCAGATTTATTTTACGGGAAAAAAAGAATGAGGAAAGGCGTTTTGGAGGCTTTGGATGTGCAAATGAGAGCCTCGATGTACCAAGAATGTTTTTCACCATCAGTGCACCATCCGGATGAAGGTTAGACTGAACTGTGATTTCCGACTCTATCAGAAATATTTCCTGCCCAACTTGACTGAAATGCCCTCGGGAACCTCTGTCCATTACTGATAAGACACAGCAAATGAAAATACCTTGTGAGGATTTTAACGTAAGATGGTTGAGTGGTGTATTTCGTCGATAAGTGAATACGATATCCTCTAATTCCCCATAGCCATCGGCTATTTGTAAAAAAAAATCTCCAAGCAGACACTGCGGGAAGGATAGTTGTCACAATTTTTGTTCCATTCTGACACGGCTGTACTTTCATGAGCCTGAAAAAAATGTACCCACCGACATATTTTTTCAAAGTTGTTAACCTGAGTCTCTAACGATGATAAAACATTGAAATGTTAAAAACCCCGGAATTGATCTTTATTTACTTGCAATCAGAAACACTTTCATCATATTTTTTACTCATATAGACATCGACGATTACCGACTGGCTGTTGCTAAGGAGTATGGTGCAGACCACGTGATCAAGGTTGCGACCAATGACAGCCAAGCCCTTGCACGAACGATAGCAGATGAAATGGGAGGCCAGCCTGACGTGTCTTTGGAGTGCAGCGGCGTGGACAGCAGCTTTGTCACTGCGATCTACGTACGTGTGATCTAGATCTCTTTGAGAAAAGTAATGGAACACCTTACAAGTTTTTCATCGCATAGGAGTTCTTCCTTTTAAGAATTTAACCTATGAAACGGTGAAGAAAAGCACCGCACAGAAGCATGTAAATCTGCTAAATGTACATCTAAGTAACAGGCAAATTTTTGCGTAACGCTGGCAGTACGCTTTCCATAAGTGATTAAAAGAAGATTAATATCTAACTGTCTAACTCAACGTTTCTGTCCATGGTGCTGATTGGCCACCATTTTTGTTTTGCACATGTACCAACAGACGTCCATGATGCTGATTGGCTATTCTTGCGCGCACACCAAGTGCCGTCCTTGGTGCTAATTGGCTATTCTTGTCCACATACTTGTGATGTCCTTGGTGCTGATTGGCTATTCTTGTGCACACACCAAGTGCCGTCCTTGGTGCTGATTGGTTATTCTTGTACGCACACTTGCGATGTCCTTGGTGCTGATTTGACAGTCAACCCAACTGACGAAAGTTGCAACGCCATTTTTTTACGGCAAAACATTGCTAGATACAGACGTCTAAAACCCCGCATCGCCTTGTTTCGTCCCCAGGCTACCCGGTCGGGTGGTGTGGTGGTCCTGGTGGGTCGAGGGTCGCTGGATGTGGACGTGCCCATCGTGAACGCTGCAGTCCGGGAGGTGGACATCAGGGGCGTCTTCAGATACTGCAATAAGTGAGTCATAGATCTTGGAAAGTAGCGGTGAACTTTAAACTTTTAACCTTGGGAAAGTGGGTTTAAAGTTGTTTAGCTGTGGGTTTAAAGTTGTTTAGTTGTTGACTTAGCTTTGGTATACGCGATTGACTAAACTTAGCTACACAACCATTACAATATCGTAATATCACCGATATCAGAATGGTTTGTAGCAAAACTAAATCAAATATTGATTCTGGACCATATCACTAAACAAAGCCATATTACTAGACTTCGGTTTGTGTTTTCATTTGTTGTGAACCGCTGCAGTTGACTGCAAGTTTATTTTCACATATTTTGACACAAAAAGCTATGATAAATGCTTAAGTGTTACTATGAGATCATTGTCACATATTTCAACTTACATACGAGTAGCTACCCTGGTGTGTTACGACGAGGCCTAGGGACGGTTACTCCGACTATACAGATAACGTTACAGATACTAACTGGTAATGACGTTTTCCAACTTGTGTTTCAGCTACCCACAAGCCCTGGCCATGGTAGCCAGTGGACAGATCGACACCAAGCGTCTCATCACCCATAACTTCACCCTGGAGGACAGCCTACAGGCGTTCCACACTGCCAACTCACGCCAGTCAAGGGCAATCAAAGTCATGATCAACTGTTCATAAGAAGCATACAGCCAGGTCGTTGACAGTGTTACAGATTTTAATTGTTGCAATACTGAAGTTATATATATAAAAACTATGTCTAACATTCCAGATGATGGGATCCAACAAAAATCAAACTTATAAAGTGCATTTGAATTCAAGTAGTAAGCTTTCAACTTGGTCGTTGACTTGTTATGCAATTGTTGCAATACATCAAACACCACTGAGTTGATTTTTGTTTTAGTCATCATTTTAATTGTGTAAACTTTCACTTCCTTCCAGCCTGTGGGGAGGCCATTTTGTCCTACAATTCGACATTCCTAATCCTAACAGTCTGTTGTTACATCATTCCCCCCTCGCTTCTTGGGACTCTACTGTATTCAAGTAACTATGGACACACAAGCTAGCAGACACTAAAAAGCAAACAAAAATAATTCAACATTGACAAACAGACATAAATAATGTGGTCATTTTTAATGGGCCCACCAGTGGTATTGCCTAGTTAACATATTACACATGTACATCATTGCTTGTCCACTACAGCATATGCTACCATGGGATTCCCTACCATGTACCCACTACACATTAGTACAATAACATGTTAGTCATGAAAAAAATAGATATCATATCCATACATATGTTGATACATCACAGATGTACGTGTACAGCATACGCTTTGTCATCAACAGGCCATACCGCCATGCAGTATTGGGTGCTCGATATATGACGCCAAAAAAAATCAAAGTGTACGTTTACATAAACTTCTAAATAGAACTTATTCACCTTCCATTGACATGAGCTGAATATGGCTGTCCATAAAATTATACAAGTATTGTATGGAGAATTGGGACTTAATGTTTCCACATACAGTGTTACTTTTAACTTTAATCCCCAGTGGTAGCCAATGTTTATTTCATGTTGAATACCCATTGCTCAGTTCAGTGACATTACATGAATGTGACAATGAAGGTAACTTCAACATCCTCCAAAATTTGTCCACTGGAACCTGTGAAATCAAGACCCTAAAGCCTGGTGCTTCAAATATGGGAACATTATTTATCTGTATATAACATTTCTATGTAACAGCAAGCTGTGACTGATCCAGACGCCCTAAATACAGCAGAGAAATCCAGGACTATACAAAGTAGGTTAGGTTTGTGGGGAAATAATAAGTCCATTTTTCACAGTACAACTTAAATTTGTGTCAGTATACTTAGGAATAAAAACTAAATCACCTATAATATTACACATACAAACCAAATGCATGAGGGAAGGGGGCAAAGTGTGCTAGAACAGGATAACTATTGCCACTTGCTTCAATACCCACACCCATTCACAACAACAATATTGAAACATACCTTAATAAGACTTTAGTATTTAATATAAATGCTACGTACATATATATTCTACAATATCTTAATACTTCAACTATCACAATAAGTAATTTAACTAACAAGAATTAGTTCATATTGAGTTAAGACAGATATCACAAATTTCATCCTACAGACCAAAAATACAATAGTGATACGACTGTTATATGTACATTAAAATACGTTGGACTAGAAAAATAACATTTTTTCTTAAAACCAGGTAAAGGAACATGGCATGTTGATGGTATGTTACATATAGAGGCAAGACTATGGGCATTACATGAAACATTGCACGTCATAACCATAACATAAATTGCACCAGGAAGTCATACTCGGGTGCTACAAAGTTAACTTTATGTCACTACAGTAAGCACAAAACCAGACCACAAAATACAAAAATTTACACAATGTGAATAATGTCAACTGTGAACAAAAATAAAAGCCAAATGATGCAGTGCAGTAATTCTGAAAAAAAACATTGCCACAGGTGCTAAAACAAAGCTACAACACCACACTTTTTGTAAAGAATAGAACTATTGCCCAGTTAAATTGCCACCAACCCAATATACCCTGGCTAAGTCTGTAAAACAACTTATCATGCTAGTCCATGAGTACTCCTTTGTTTGCCACAACCACATATTACTATGACTATTGCAGAAAAGGTAGTCCAACCCCCCTCCCTTCAGTTACCCTTGTTTGCTTTCTACAAAAGTTCAGATCAGCTAGTCAACTTTCCAGTGACACTTTTCCCTATTTGTTCTATTAGTCTTAACAGACATTTCTGAATGCACAGCTATGTTGCACACAAGGTTGGCTATGAACTACACATTGCAAAATTAATAACTATATAAATGATGCTGGGGCTGAGATGGACATTGACACAATATAGAATCACATTTAGCAAATTGAGCTCATCCAGCAGTCATGATTTTGGTCAACCACCGTAACACTTGCGCATGGCCAAAGAATTCACAGACGTTGGTGATACTACTTAGCCTGGGTACCATCCCCAGTAGTATATTCGCAAACTCTATAACTGGGTCTGGACTTGATCACATATAAAACGATTGGTCATGACGTCACGTAATGAGCTAGCCCGAGCAGCGGGGCTTCATTTGATTGGCTGAGCCTCAGAGGCGACGGCCAATGGCGCGCCTGCATTATTCAAGTGATGTTTGTTGTTTTGTAAACACAGATCTTCGCGCGAGTGTTCCTTTTCTCGGTGCGTTCTTTTTTTACCGGTAGGACGCCCAAAACATCACGAACGAAATTATTCAATGCATCTTTTTGCTCATTTTTGAGCGACGATATTCCGTCTAAATCGTCCAAAACGGACGTGATTGCGAGGTCAACATCAACCTCCGTGAGCTGAGCGGCTTGTGCGTCAGCCATGTTGATGATTTATCGCGGAAAGACTGACTACGGCTATATCATGTGCGCTTTAGCGTTCGGTTCGCCGTCGGACATGTTGATGATAAGGCGTTCGGACGTTCGAACGGACGCTAACGTCGCCGTTCGGACGTCCGAACGGCCCTTACCTAATATGTACATACCCCAAAAAGGGCTTAGACGAGTAGGACCAATCAGCGCGCTCGTTCAAAATCTGAACGAATATTTAGACTCCAGACGCTACATATGTGTGCAAGTCCAGACCCAGTTATAGAGTTTGCGAATATACTACTGGGGATGGCACCCAGGCTAGATACTACTGGAACTATCAATATTGCAATGCTGACTATGGAATGATGCCATGCTCTTCACTTTTCCCTACACACCTTCAGACTAAACTATGATATGTACCATTACACTCAGCACAAAAAGTTTGGAAACTTCTATTTGAAATAACATATCAGATTCTCCATTTTTACTTTGTCATAGGAGATATGATACACTGAAATAACATATCAGATTCTCCATTTTTACTTTGTCATAGGAGATATGATACATAACAATCGCGTTTCCAAACTTTGTGTTAAGTCTAGTTTACCTTACACTGTTAACTGTACATCTGGCACATCATTGGAGATATTTGACAAGTGGGAACATCTCACCACTTCTTGTTAAGTTGAGAGATATCAAATTTGTCTATCTACATTCCAGTCTGACATCTGTAGAACCTGAACTCTATTGTGGAAGAAGTAATCTTTGTTATAGATGATGCCAAAGTCTTGAGATGTTCTCCAGATATGCCTTCTGATACAGAAGGCATGATGCCCAGCTTCTTACTTGTTCCTTGCTCTACTCCTTAAACATCGTCTCTTTGCCGCAGGCTCTTCTTCACTTGCCTCAGTTTTTGCCTTCCCATGGTTCCCCTCACCCTTCCCAGAAGCCCTCAGGGCATAAGCATGGTCCCTGACTGGTCCGTCCTCGCCGGTTGTGGTGGATTTTGCACTGCCCTGTTTAGAAACATCTGTCAGCACAATGGATGCTTCTTTCAAAACGGGAATGGCTGCTCGCGGTTTGGCGTAACTATGGATTTCATCGCTCTCCTGCTGTTTGGGTACACCGCACTCACTGTCCTGTTTCTCAGCCTCGCTGTTCGTAGATGCAGCACAGGAGTCGACGCTGTCATGGGGTTGGTCATTGCAATTCCCATTTGTGCTGTCATGTGATGTTTGTTCCTCTTGTAAAGATGGCTGCACCTCACTTTGTTCTTTTGTACTCTGACCTTTCTCAGGGTCAGATGACAAAGATGGCTTGTCTTTTCCAACTTCAGTTACAGTACATGATGCCTCCTGTGCCTTTGATGTCAAAGAATGTTCCCTTTTTGTTTCTGTCTCATTACTGCTTGTTTGTGCTGGAGGTATTTCTAATTGGGTGAATGAGAGGTCAACAGCCTCACCTTGGCAATTGGCAGTCCGTTCCTTTTCATGGTCATGGTCATGGTCAATGGAACTCTTGTCTGTTTCAGAGTTGACACTGTCACATGCAGGTTTGTCTTCAGGGCTGCTTTCTTTGTCTTCACTTTTACAAGGTATTATTTTCTCTTTGACACTTTCTTGGTCATCCTCTTTTGTCTTGTCATGGCTGGGAGCATCGTCATTCTTTCTGTCGCACGTTTCCTCATCTTTGTCACCATTCAGCAGTATAGTGTCAGCAGAACCTGTACAAGGTTGGCTTGTTGGTTCTTTGTCTAACCCTTCTGTGTCGTTGGCAGTTAAGGAGTTTGAAAGCTGTTCTGTTCTCGCCTCTGATAGAGTGTCTTTTGAACTTGATGCATCACTACTTGTGGAATCTTCATTGGAAACTGTGTTCTTTGTGACATTGTCAACACTTTCAGTAGTGCAGTTTTCAGAAGATTGGCTTGTGCTTGGAAGAATTTCACAGCTTGTATCAGCTTGTTTGGTAGCTTCATCATTTTTCGGGTTACTTGTTTCAGACTGAGAACTGTCCGTAGGTACAGGTACAGGGACTGGGATAGGTATGGGAATAGGGATTGGAACTGGAATGAAGTACGGATATGGCACCATTAGTGTTGGAGGGGGCAACAGCGACCGACCAGGCATTGGGGGAAGATTTGGTACCTCCTGTGGCAACATGAAGTTGCCATGAGGCATGTTCTGCAGCAGTCCTGGGTTGGCGAACGCGAGGTGAGGAGGTATAGGTTGTTGGGGGAAGTGTTGGGGAAACAGTCCTTGAGGTATGGGGGCGTCGTTCCTGATCTGAGGGCGGGGCATGCTCGGTGAGGGGGAGTGCCCCGGCATCCCCAGTGGAGGCATGGCTTGGTTCGGGGTGGGAGTTCTCGGGTGGAGCATGGGGTGGATCATGGCGGGCGACCGGACTCTCTGGTCAGCTACGATCTGTAGGGGGGAGACCGCTCCGCGAGGGGGGATCCCCCCTGGGATGCCTGTGGGGATCATGCCGGGGGGCATGCCCGGTCTGATCATGTGCGCGGCCTGGATGACCGTGTCGCGGTGGGCCTGGGAGCCGACGGGAGGCGGCGGCATCCTCGGCTCCGTCTGCAGCTGCAGCGCGGGGGAACTCCTGGACACGGCAGGGTTCATCAGCCTGTTCTGCAGCCCTGCAGGCCCCGCCTGGTCCCCGTCCGCCGCCTTTAGCCACAGCTCCGGCGTGATCAGGACCTGACCGTTGGCCTGGGGACTGCTCTTGGGGGGCTGCGGACACATCGACGTCGGAGGTTTCACATCCACCGCCACAGGTGGCATCGGCCCCGGCGAGGGAGCGCCCGAACTAAACTGCATGTTGGTGGGGAGGTTGGCTTGAGTCTCCTTACAGAAGATGTCCATCTTGTACTGGTTCAAGCACTTCACGCTGCAGAACTGCAGCCGCCTCTCCCCGTCACCGAAGTCGAGGTACTCCTTCGTGTGGCGGATGTGTTTACACCAGTCGCAGACCTTGTTGCGCTTGAAGTACGCGCGGCGACAAGCGGCAAAGCACTTCTCACTGCAGAACTCTTTCGACTCGTTGTTCGTGTTGAGGGTGTACCGCTTGACCCCGACCTTCTGACACCAAGCACACAGGATCTGCTTCATGTTGTCGTCTTCATCTCCTGTAACAGAGGGCGGGAGGGGGGCAGAGATAATGAGATGTTTATTGCAAATTCATGCCTGGAGGCTAATTGCAAATTACAAACATAAAAGAACATTGAAGAGATAAAATAACTTTAAAATCTACATAATGAAAGGTAGTTGTCTAAAACTAATGTTATGTTTAAAACTATGTCTGAAGGGTTTGACTTCTCTTTTGTAAAAAAAACCAAGGAAGATAATAATATTAGACTCTAGCAGTGTAACCATAATCATGAGAAGGAAAATTGATACATTTCAAAATATGATGTGTTCTGTGACTTGCTGGACTATTCCAAGCACTAAGGTTACAAAATCACTGATGCTGCTGGGATACTGTATAGTGGAAAAAGTGTGGAAAATATTCTTCATTGCTTAAAGCTCAGCCAATATGAATACATATCCACAGAAGCTAAGTCGAAAGTCTTGCCAGATGGCCTGCCAACCCAAACTCACTGAAATTGAGAGGTAAAATATTAAACAATTTACAGTATGGATACTGCGTCAGGAACTATGATACATCTATAATGCGATCATGGTTGGAGAGAGATTTAATTTGATTGAATAATTGATCAATATCTACATTTTAAGCGGATTAGTTGTAAAGTATCAAAGAGAGAGAGTGTAATAAAATTAGACTATGGGAATTTCCACTTTTCAGGGATTTACAATAATTTTGCAGTTCAAAACATAGCCTTCATCCATTGGAAAGCTAATAGAGCAGACCTGGCTGTACATTTTGTATGTCTCTTACAGCCGAAACGGTAGATAAACAAAAAGGCCTTTTCCCATCAATAAGTTGCAACCTTTAAAAGCTTGACAACACCAAATTGCTCCTTCAGCAGTATTTGACAGTATCGCGGGAGATTCTCTGAAGTGAAAATGTCTCCCCGACATTTGCACTTACCATGGTGAGGCTTTAGGCATAGCGTGTCTAATGAGGTATTTACGCTGCTCAGAAACACATTCCTGAGTGAGAACCATACTGGAACCGATATACGTGTGCATCAATTTGCTTTATCAATTGTTAATGGCGATATGAATGATTAACTTTTCCTGGGGCAAAAGGAGTACTTGACGTGATTTAAAGGTGCTGTTACTACCCCGTAAACAGTACGCGCCCTGCAGCTAGTAAGGGTTACTGACATTAATGAAATCAAAACCTGTAAAAATTTGTACTCTTTTCCGTTACCAAGGGAATGAAGTGAAATCCTATTTCTGCAACCCTACATGCACCTCACCTTGAAACTCAAATTTCCTTTCATCTACAAAAATGTTTGTATATAATTGTATTCCAACTCAAATGGCTAAAAATATATATGTATTTTTAGATAAGTCAGGGTTTATTGCTCTATTCTCAATAAATGTGAAAGTACTAGATCTAGTAAATCAGTGGCTTTCTGCCACCAGAGTTTTTCAAGTGACAAGTTGTAACGTATGCCTGACCTTGTCTATATATAGCTAGTGACTGAAAGATGCACACTTAGGTGAATATACATTGCCTAGAAAGCTTGAGTATTATGGACTGTCACGCAGTATTAAATGTGGTTACCTGGAGCTGAGAGAAAGAGTTCTCTTCGCAAGCCAGGCCAAATTTACAACGGTGTTATTGTAGCAATTATTTCTAGTGGCTTTCTACATAAGTACAGCAATTCTGTCAGCCTTCATAAATATGCTACAGGGATATGTGTGGGGAGGAATAAGAGTATATTTACTTTAATGTACATTTACTTTTCTCTCTTTCTATATATATACTCTCTCTCTTCTATATATATACATATATACATACATGTACAAAGGGCTTGGTCAATTTTGTTACATATATTTTATTGACAGAAGCAGGGCTCAAAATTATGGGTGCGAGTGCACCTTACTGCACCCAAATTTGGAGCTGTGCACCTAATTTTGTGTGTGTGTGTGTGCACCAGTGCACTCAACTATTTTTGTAGGTTTACATATGTAAAGATGTCAATTGTATAGTTGTATGCAGCATATTCTTAACATCTAAGTGCAAGAAAATCGTTGTTATAGTTCTTTTCTTTAGACTAAAATGAAACATATTTACATGTAATAAGAAAAGTTTGAATCTTTACTTCTGGATAAAATAAGAAAATAATGTCAGACGTTTCAGACGCCGTCCGGCATCTTTCATCAGTGAAATATTCAAAATTGCG